GAGGACTACCTATAAACATTTTGTAGCATTTCAAAAGAATTGTGTCCAGTGGTTTTTCTTCTCTCAGTGTGTTTTATCTAAAGAAATAAAGATAATGCTAGAGGCTGATCTTTGCTTTTGCAGCATTTCTTTTATTTTTGCTTTATTTCCCAGATGGAAAACCAAGGGTAGCCAGAAATCTGGTAGGGCCCCATGGAGGTGCCGTTCTTGAGATGTCAGACTAGAATGGTGGATGCTTGCTGGAAGAACAATCAAACACCTGTCTTTTAGATTAATGATGACATTTCCCAGAAACCATCTGCTGGACCTCCTTATTCACTGATCACAGTTAGTAATTTCTTTGGTGAGGTTCATCCAGGAACAATTGCTATTAAGATAAAATCTAGTCTCGTTCGTAATCTTTCAATCAGGAGTCTTATTAAATTTCACGTGAATTTCAAGATGGCTTCCAAGAAGACTGGGTGATAGGACTGTTGTCACATTGATGTAGAAGCTATTCAAGAGGCCTGACATCCTTCAGAGGTACTATTCCATATCTCTGGAAGAGAAGAGAAAGAGGGAGAGGTCACATGTGGTGATTTCTTGATTGCAGTGACAAATATATCCTTCTGTGGCTGTCGTTTCTTTGCCATGGGAATGAACTGAACTGGTGGTTTCAAAGGTTTGAGTGTTTCATCAATAAATATCCAATCGACAATGATTCTAGGTGCCTCAGTGTAAGATTTATGATTCTTGAAAATCAGAACTGAGCATGAGATGAATTTTTATGTAACAGCTCTGAGATTTCTCTACAACTGGAACAAAAATTGTTCATTAATTGGCTATAAGAACATGGCTGATCAATTAAAATTCATTTAAATCCATCCATCTTTTTGTATTGTAGAAGGAACTCCAATTCAGCATTTAAAGCTGAATTGACAACATCTGTAAATTCAACAAGTTTCGAGAAGGGTTGCAATTTCCATATTTTTGCATCTTACCAAAACATTGGTAAGATGCAAAAATGATACTAAGATTTTTTTTTGTTAAGGCATTGACTGCAGAGTGAGATAAATGTATTATTTCAGTATGAAGATAAGCCATCACTTATTTATTATAGAAAAAATTATCTGTGTTATAAAAACACAACGTAATAGCTTCAATAAATTAAGTTACCATTTTCTCTCACTTCTCTAATTTAAAGTTGCCCTTGATGGCTTAAATTATCCTGTCAATTAATCCACTGAAACATTAGTTGATAAAACTGCAGTCTGAAGGGATTAAAATTGCAGCTTCCTTTCTTAGAGAATGAAACTGCATCAAAGTGTCATTTTAATTGCCAGCCACTAAGGACCTGTGTGCAAAACCAAGCTTCTTGGCTGTGGGGTTGAAACCGTATAATGCCATGCTTCCTTGTGATAGAAAATCATATCTTCTTGCTTCCTGTCTACTCCCCGGATCATCTTTCTTGGATGCTTGGATGATTCCCCCTTCTTATCCAATTCTTCAGGCTCTCCTTGGACATTTCTTCTTGGCTCTTAAGCAAACAGAAGGATGAGACCATGGCCAGCAGTTGGCAGATAACATTATGGAAGCCAAGTCAAGGTCATTAGCAACCGACATTCAGATGGAAATGACCCAAGGACAAATAATAATACTTTTCCAAATGCACCAAGAAGCATCAGCAAACCAGCATTCTTTTTTTTTTTTTAATGTGCTAATTTAGCAGACAATAGCAGATTATAGGATACTTGGCTCAATCCTCTACGGTTATGTACAAGTAGCATGTGTTGGGGAGGCAAATCCAATTTATAATTAGCTAATAAATCATACAAGTCATATTGAAGTGCAGGCTTTCTTTATTGGATAGCTGATTTAAGACTTAGCATAGAGACATATGGCTTCTGGATGCTGGAATAGGAATTTCTGAAAGTCCTAGTTGCTCCTGCTGTGAGTGGGCTCCACTGTCTGGGCTGCAGCTGAGGTTTGAGCAGATACCGCTCACATCACTGCAAGGTTGGCATGCCAAATTTGGAAGGAATTGACAGAGTGTCTACTGGATACATCAGCTCCATTTAAGCCATGCAAAAATGTATCTGGTATATGTTTTTTCTCATGATGGGCAAGATCCAGCCCACAAAAGAGACCCCGGGCAAGCAGGAGGATCACCTTCCCAGAAAACGGTAGGTCAGGAAGCCCTTAGACCATCAAGTCATCATGCCAAATGCAAGCTACCGCCTTTCATCTCTGCTTTCCTTTGAAAGTAATCATATTGTATCTTGTTGGGTCATAAAGAGCTTGATTTATTGAAGCCAATTCGTGAGCCACTAAATCATTTTGGTCAAATAGCTGCATTTCACGGCTTTCGGCTTTATCCCATTAAAATTTCAACTCTGTAATATGCAATTATGTGTATACTCAAAGTTAAGATATTATTTTCGATGTAGGCAAAAAGGAAGTATAAATTTCTCCCCTTTAATTTGTAATATATTCAGGTTTGACAGTACTAATTTGCACTGCAAAGTAATTTGGACATCAGAAGCATATGTCAACATGAAAAGTAACTGCAGCTGGGTCTCTGGGGAGCCGGGCTTAAATCTGTCTAGTTGCAGATACAGCTGATGTGCTCATCTTCATTTTTGACCCAATAATGATAATTTATGAAACCTGCCTTTTCTTCTCCTGACAATTTGCTCCACTCAGGGAGCAAAGAAATAGGATCATCATTCTTCTCCCTCTCCCCAGATTTCTTAGCAAAAGGGGAAGTTTCCTGATGAAGCATTTGATTCTCTCATTGTACATAGCATCTTTGCTTTATCCTAAGGAAATAAGACATAACACATCTGGAATTTATTGGATTTGGTTTTCAGATGTTTGGTGGGTATCTGGGAAGCTGAGGTTGAAGAAAGGTCCTGTGCTCCGTGCCAGAATGTGGGATAGTACTTTGAGTATTTACAAATTCTGATTTCCAGTCCTCCATCATGATATAAAACCATACTTTGTCAATTCTTCTGAACCACTCTTCTGTCTTCCTGTCCATTTTTTGGGTTGGATAAACTCCCTTCATTGCATCTTAGTTCATGAATGCCTATGGAGATTCTCAATCATCCAGGTCATAATTGTCCCAAAGGTGCTTTTCAAAAGGCAACTGGACTTTCTTGTTCTTTTTCTTTGGAAATGTTTCTCTTCTCATCCAAAAAAAGCTTCTACAAAACTGAAGACGTTTTTTGGATGAGAAGTGAAAGATTTTTAAGGGGGAAAAAAGCAAGAAAGTCTGGTTGCCTTTTGGAAAAAACACCTTTGGGACAACTATGGCCTGGATGATTGACAATCTCCATAGACATTCATTGGGCTTAGGCAATGAAATTTGCTACATCCCTGATGTGAAAGCTAAAGGGCCCATCCCTATCTCCTTCCACCTCTGACTGTCATTTTTACTGACATTTTTGAGGTAAGCTTTGGGTTGTGCAGAGGACAAGGCCAGACAATTTAAGTGGTTTGTGATTGACGCCTTCATTGCATTTTTCTCTAATGAAAACCTGGTCCCAGATTTCTTTCTTTCCAACTTGCAAAGCATTTGCCTTGGGTGGACGCTCAACAGCTGCAATATCAAATAAGGGATTGGCCTCATCCTGAACAGGACAAAGTGATTCCGCTTCAATAGGCTGGTCAGATCGGAGTGAAAGTAAAATGAGTCTCATATTCAGTGGAGCTGCAGAGAATTTTAGAGATCTAGATAACAAGGCCTGGGCTGTAAACCTACAGGACAATAAGAAGCATAACATGACTTTAAAGATAGTTAAATTAAAATAATAATAGAAAGAACTGGAGAAGATAACAAAATACAAAGACCTACAAATAGAAATAGAAAGACTGTGGCAAAAGCAAGCAAGGGTAGTACCAATAGTCATAGGCTCCTTGGGTGCAATCCCAAAACAACTGGAGCACCACTCGAACCCCATTGGCATTGACAAATTCAGTATTAGTCAATTGCAAAAGGCGGCCTTACTAGGAACTGCTTCCATCCTGCAACAATATCTGTAATACCATCAAACATCCACGTCTGCCTATCCCAGGTCCTGGGTAAGGACTCGATAGGTAGACAAAATGCCAAATCCAGTCTGAACATCTGGCTGACTGTGCGATGATCCATAATAATAATAATCAGAATAGAGCTGGAAGGGACCTTGAAGGTCTTCTAGTTCCTAGCACTGCAGTAATTTCAGATCATTTGAGACTTCTCTGTGCAAAAAAATGTATTGACTTACATCAGTTCCTTCAGTAGCCATTCTAAGGCAGAGGTCCCTAAACTTTGGGCACCAGGCACCGGTTCTGTGGAGAAAGATTTTCTGAGGACCAGAGGGGGCGTGGTTTTGTGTGCTGCCTGCTGCCTGCATCATGCGGATGGGGCTTTGCTTGTTTGAGCGGACCGGTTTCTGGCATGCCATGGCTCAGTGCCAGTCCACGGACCAGGGGTTGGGAACCCCTGTTCTGAGGTACAAGGCCACTGAAAAAAGTGACTTATGACCTTTTTTTACACTTATAACTGTTGCAGCATCCCCATTGTCACATGATCAAACTTCAGATGCTTGGCAACTGCTTGGCATATATTTATGATGGTTGCCGTGTCTCAGGGTCATGTGATCCCCTATTGCGACTGTCTGACAAGAAAAGTCAGTGGGGAAGCCAGGTTCACTTATCAACTGCAGTGATTCATTTAACAATTGTGGCAAGACAGGTCATAAAAATGGGGCAAAATTTACCTAACTGTCTTGTTTAGCAACAGAAAAGTTGGGCTCCATTGTCATGAGTTGAGGACTCTCTGTAGTAACGGCTTAAGATTTCTGGTTACTTGTGAATTAAGCTTCTGTTGAAACGGAGAAGACGCAAAGTTGAAAAATAATGGCTCACAGCTTCAGTTGGCAAAAACATATAAGGTGTGTCACGGTGACCAAATGTTCTGATATCTCCCAAGCTTGTTCAGGTGGGATGACCTGTTTTCCTTCTTTTTCTCTCCACAGTCTCCCAACGTTCATAACTACCCAGATATGGAAGCCGTGCCCCTCTTGCTGAACACCATGAAGGCAGATCCAGAAGAAGATGCCTTGTGCACGGATCATTTCCAGACGCAGACGGAGCCGGTGGACTTGTCCATCAACAAAGCACGATCCTCCCCTCTTGCCACCTCATCTTCACCAGTATCCATCACAGCCTCTGCGCTGTCCCCCTCTTCCACTTCAACGTCTTCTAGTCGGCCAGCTTCGTCCCCAACGGTGATAACCTCGGTGGCATCAGCAGCATCGGCACCATCAGTATTAACTCCAGGTCCGCTTGTGGCATCTGCCTCGGGTGTTGGAGGGCAGCAGTTTTTGCACATAATCCACCCAGTTCCACCTTCCAGCCCCATGAACCTACAGACCAACAAAATGAGTCACGTCCACCGCATTCCTGTGGTGGTGCAGTCGGTACCGGTGGTCTACACTGCGGTGAGATCACCAGGGAATGTCAATAACACTATAGTAGTACCAGTACTAGAGGATGGGAGAAGTCATATCAAAGGTAAGAAGATCTCTTACAAAATAGGCTTCTAGAGAAGCACAATGGAAGAAAGCCTCCTGAATCATTCCCATTTACTCATGATTTGAAAACCAACCAAAGAGTCTTCTTCTTCCATGTCTAGATCAACTTTAAGCTGTCAGAGTGAAGCCACCTTCTTGGCTTTGTTATTGGCCGCAAATAAGTCATTATCAGTCCATGTTTCTGATAGTAACTGACATACCAGCAGATGGGCCAGGCTCTGGGTTTCTACACATTCACATACTGTAGTGTGTTGTTATCCACTAAGAGCCTCCACTTGAGTATATTAGTTTTATATTTAGGCACTCCAAATCTCAACGTAGTCAGGGTCCTCCAAGAAGTATAAGGAAGATCGATTTTTCAGCCATATCCTCCTTCCTCCATCTTTTTATTCAGTTTTGTTCTTGATTCTCAATTTTGTTCACCAACCAAAGATGAATGTGTATTAACTGCTCTTTGAGCCAGTTATTGGAGAGACTAGCTAATGAGCCACACAGATGATCTACCAGAGTATTTATAACTCGGTTTCCAAGTGGAATTTTTTGAATTCATGTGCTGCCATTGCTATGAATTCCCTTGGTGCTTTAGATAAATTCCTGGCTTGTGCCTTTCTTTATTTATTTATGAGACTTATATACCGCTTTAAGTGCAAGCACTCTCTAAGCGGTGTACACCAGTAAGCAATGTATATATATATTTACATTGCCCCCAACAATCTGGGTCCTCATTTTACCTACCTCGGAAGGATGGAAGGCTGAGTCAACCTTGAGCCGGTGAGATTTGAACCGCTGACCTGCTGAACACAGTCAGCTAAAGTGGCCTGCAGTACTGCACTCTAACTGCTGCGCCACCTTCTTGCCTCTACATTGGGGCTAATAGAATTGATTTATCTTACAGGTTTGTGGTGAGAATTGTTGTAAGAAAATGCATGTGCATGCCTGGTCACAATGTAGTCTTTATAAGAAATAAATTGTGATTAGCAGTACTTTCGGAATAGTGGGAGTGTAAGCAAGTTTTACTCTGCTAGTCATAGCCAATTTTAGGGGCAGTGCTCGTCTCTGTTTCTAGATCATTGAGCCAGCACTGTCCAAAGACATTTTCGCAATCCTGTGGCCAGCATGACATCATGCCGCAGTACAGAGCATGCGATGAAACACGGAGTTACTTTCCCACTGAAGTGGTACCTATTTATCTACTTGCTTTCAAACTGCTGTGTTGGCAGGAGCTGGGGCAAGGACAGGAGCTCACCCATCATGTGGTATTTGGGACTCAAACCTGGGCTAGTGGCTTGCCGGTGATAAGCCCAGTGTCTTAACCACCGAGCCCTTGCACCGCCCCTCTATTGGAAGAGTGGGGAGGCCAAATGTGTTTGCTGCAAGAATAGAAGTGTGGAGTTTACACCACAATGTCACCATGCACTTGGTGTAGAATGCCTGTGGAATATCTTTTAAAATTGCCTGGTAGATGGAAGGAATTGTCATCAGGTTTGAAGATGGAAATTTAGGCCTATTGTCTAAGCAGCAAATAATAATAATAATCAAAATGACTTCAACAGTTTTGAACATTTGACCAAATCTAACATGGTAACTAATGATGTCAGATCCTTCACCTGGGTAGGAAAACACCAAATGACAGGGAGAATACGGAATTCTGAGACTGGCTTAGCGGATTCTAGAACGGAACAAGGAGATCTGAACGTACAGCCTTTATCTGCTTTACCATTACAGAAAGGACTTACACATGTACAGTATGCAGTCCACCAGATGTTAGGAGAAAAATCAGATGGACATTTTATTGAACATTTCTGTGTTTCACAAAATAGATGAACATTGAAGTAAGACATTTGTAGGCCTGCTGGTTTTGATGTGATTCCAGATGTGTCGCTCTAAGAATCTATGGAGATTCTCAATCATCCAGGTCACGATTGTGCCACAGCTGCTTTTTTCCAAAAGGCAACTGGGCTTTCTTGGGGTTTTTTTCCTCTTTGAAAATGTTTTCCTTCTCACCCAAAGAGCTTCTTGGATGAGAAGCAAAACATTTTCTAAGAAGAAACAAACCAAGAAGATCCAATTGCCTTTTGGAAAAAGCACCTTTGGATTGCTGTTAGAGGTTTTTTATTAGATCCTGCTTCTTCCTTGTGCTTTATTAGATCTTCCTTCCTTCCTTCCTTCCTTCCTTCCTTCCTTCCTTCCTTCCTTCCTTCCTTCCTTCCTTCCTTCCTTCCTTCCTTCCTTCCTTCCTGGTATATATAGAAATTCAGAAGTATATTTCCATACCTTTCTTTATTTTTTCTCACTGTGAGCACCATCCAGGAGTAGAAAATAAAGTAATTTCAACCATGATTTCTTGCTATATTTTTCAATAAAATCCAGCACTCCCAAGAAAAGGGGAGATACAAATCTGCTCTAAGAGTATCCACCAAAACAAAAGGTATATGTAACAATCTTGAAGTTATTTTTCATTTGCCTTCACATTAATTTTCACTGTGATGATAATTATGTACTGCTGCTCTTGCTTCTACTACTAGTTGTGAATTTTGTAAACATATTCCTAAATCTTCAGAATTTATTTTCCTTTTCAATTCCTGGATGTCTTTGTGAAGTGCAACTCTATAATGTGCAAAGATTATTTTAATTCCTTCTGGTCTCTGGATGTATAATCCTGACTTTATAATGGGCAGTAGAACATTTGTGTTGAGATCACCGGTACGCTGTGACATCCCATTAGAATTTGTCCAAAATTATCCCATGAGCTGAATGAAGACTCAAGTCTGAATTTTCTTAGTTCCTCTTAAATGCAAAAGTTCTGATCACAGGCATGCCTCTTAAAGGCCAGTGTTTACCTCTAGAAGACCCTCTGAAATTTTATTTTCCCCAGGATAAACTTTGCATTCTGACTGCCATCCACAGATATTCAATTTATATTGAGACCTTGGCTAATCTTTTTTTCTATTGTAGCCTTTTATAGGCATCTATATGAGCTTCTCCCAAGGGAACAGAAATATAACCAGCACAGTCATGTTCTTCTCATTTGCATTTGACACTTCGGAAACTCTTTTGAGGCAGATCATACATCTGGGCTAAAGACTTAGTTCCATAAAAGGGGAAGTGATCCCTATTGGCCCAGATGATGTGATGTCACAGAATGTTTACTAATCTCGCACTTGTGGTGGCGATACTCACAAAGATTAGCTTTGAGAACTGGGAGTGACTTCAGCTGACAAAATATCTGCAAGTCTTAGAGACAGAAAAAGCAGCCAGGTTTTTGTTAGATATTTTTAGGAAAGTCTTGGCTGAAAAGCTGCACGTTGAGTCCCTACATCGTGTGCTGCTCAAAGCTGTAATTGCTTTTCTTCCCTCTGGCTTTGCTTTATGTTCCAGGGTGAATCGGTTATAAATTAGATACTTGATGTGATTTAGGTCTTGACACTCTCAAGAATTCAGCTTCCTGTAAATAAGTGTGAATTCAGCAGTATTCCACTCAAAATGAAAAAGGCTTCAGATTTTTGTGGAGTAAAAATGATCTCCGTAGATGTGTGTTTGAATTATGTGTAGGCTATCCTTTTTCTATGTGTCTTTATGGCTGATAGGAACCCAGGACATCTACAAACAATGCCTTGGTTCAGAGGTACTGCAAATGCAGGCTGATGGAGAGAAGGATATGGATGATGTCCTGAATTTCAGAAGGCTAAGGTGGAAAGTGACAAAATGTAAGCCTAGGGCAGTGGTTCTCAACCTGTGGGTCGGGACCCCATTTGGGGTCGAACGACCATTTCACGGGGGTCGCCAAACCACGCTGTCCGCCATTTTTTTCCCTTTTTCCTAGCTGTCCTACTCCCTCTTATTGCTGGCCACACCCACTTGGGGGTCACCACAACATGGGGAACTGTATTATGAGGTCACGGCATTAGAAAGGTTGAGAACCACTGGCCTAGGGGCTGAGCCCTCTTTTCGGAGGTTGCACCAGAGCACATTGCTAAGCTGCAATGTCCTGTTAAATCTCCATAAAGGCCTGAAAACTAGAGTATGTGTAATCTTGCTATAAATTGTAATAAAAATTATTCGGTAGACACGGTATTATGGCCATTAAGTTCACGGCCATTGCTGCTGTGTACATAAAGTTTTATGGAATAAATTGAGCGTTTTTTCTCCCCGTTCTGAAGCAAGCTGCTTTTGATTTAAACTTTGATTGGTGATTGTCAACCATTTTCCTAAGAGCAAGATCATTCATCGTGACATTCAGTAAGAAAAAAAAAAGAAGAAGGGAAGGGAAGAAAGCTCTGAGTCTTTTCTCCATGTTGAAGCACAAAGAAAAGCTGCACACATTTTTCGGCTATAAGAAGATCAGAATCAAAATATAGCTGGAAGGGACCTTGGAGTTCGTCTAGTTCAGTGGTGGCGAACCTATGGCACACGTGCCAGGGGTGGCACTCAGAGCCCTCTCTGTGGGCACGCGTGCCGTCACCCCAGCCTCGCCTCCCCCCGCAGTCCCTCCTCACCAGCAGTCCCCCTGGAGGATAGTCACCCCCCAGCGCGGCCTGTGCAGAGCAGCGCAGCCAAGGACATGGCAGCCGGGCAGTGGGGATAAGACTCCACCCTTGTGTCCTGTCACACACAGATGATGCTGCGGGGCATGGGCGGAGGGCATGGCTGCCATGGTGCTGCTGGCCCGCCTGGGTGATCTGCGGTGGGCCATGGAGGCAGTGGGTGGCTCTGTGGGTGGGTGGGGGGCAGAGAGGGGGCAGGGGCAGTTTTGGGGCACTCAGTCTCTAAAAGGTTCACCATCACTGTTCTAGTCCAACCCCTTGCTTGAACAGGAGACTCTATACCATTTCAGACAGGTGGCTGTCCAGTGATGGAGCTCTTATACCTTAATCTCTGCTCTTATATCTCTTCCCTCTCTCCCGAAATATTTGATCAAAATCTTCTCTAGTATAGTCAACGGCTACCCATTTTCCTCACTTTGGAAGATTTCATTGATTA